TTTCGGCAGTGTTGGCTCAGAGGGCTATCATTTGTGGCCAGGTCGCTTCTGAAAAAAACAAGCCAATGGCTCAGTGGTTTCGTTTTAATTGCATATGTTTTAAAAGGGAATTTCTTTACTTTTCCTATAATCTGCCCTCCTATCGTGTTTGTGTTTGTTTTTGTGACGTTCGGACCCGCCTCTACTGGAACATCTGTGAAAAGAGCTTCATAGCTCATCGGATTCCTCCTCCAGTATGAATACATAACCTGATAAGATCGAACACTCAGTGGCGTGGAAGCCTGAGCCAGTCACTGACGGCAGGAGCGGTGATGATGCGTGGCCAACTCAAGCTATTCTGTGTTTTATTTAAACATTCGTGTTTATTTATACAACAAAGACTCGCTCACTCTCAAGACTCCCCGCATTGGAATTTCTGGACAATTACTTAAAGGGAAAGAGATTTCACTTGCGAGGAAAGTGACGAATCTGGAGACAAGGTATGCACAGCAGGGTACGAGACTCACAAATCCGCACACACAGGTCATTCTTCCACAGTGTATGTCCATCACAGCGACTTCGAGAATGTAAATTACTAAAATAGAATATGTGCATAATCTTAAACAAACAAAAATAACGCCTCCCAGTAAAAACACGTAGTGAATTAACAATGAGGTAGAAGTTGATAAATACATCTCGGATTGGCATTTCTTTTGATTAATCGGCCGTGGTGTATCCGATAAGTCAGCCGTCACACATCTGACACATCGGCCACGAGGAGTTCTGATAAATCTGTCATGAGTCATCTCGTAAAATAAAACTGGAGAGCTTCTACTCCGTTATAAATCAAGCATGAGATATTATTTGATAAATTGACAATGAGCCGTCAACAGTATTACTTATTTCTCATGAAGTTTAATGATTAAAATCAAGAAACTCAGCCTCACAAATCTCAGCCTTACGAAAATAAACGTGAGTTATCTGCCCGCCGTGTATATATGCAATGCAGCTCTATATTATATTTAATGACAGCCTCTTGGCTATTCCACTGATGCATGCTTCCACGCACGCTTTGTCGACTAAAAGGGCTTTGTGCGACCATGCTTCACCGTTCGGGCAGATGATATTGATCTCCACTCACTGCTGGTTCACCTATGTACTCGCTGTTCGCTTGTCTGACGCCCTAATAATACTATCGTACAATCCGCTGCTGGATGAGAGCCTCCTTAAGCAAGTCGTGGGCGGCTATGTGACCACTCTTCACCACGCTGATCAAAGCGAGTTAAGGAGGGAAGCATAGACATTGAAACGTAGTACGGTACAACAATGGGTTGTCCTCTGCTGACAACGTAACCGTGCAACAGCCTACATCGCCTGGTGCGCACGACGATCACACATCTAGGTACGATCCAGGCTGGACTCTGCCAATATGTGTGGCGTGCACGTTGAAACTATTTCGCATGCGCGCGGGAAGGACAACAAACTTAGCGCACACGAACGGGACTCACGAGTTCGCGCTCATATCCGCGGTGATTGACAACCAACGTTTAAAATGACGTCATCGTTCAGCGATGTGCTTCCCGGAACGACGGCCGCGCGGCTGCTGCACGCGAGGAGTCATTGAACCGACGGGAACGACACCGCGCCCCGACGCTGACGGATCGCGAGAGCAGCGCGCGCGGACTCGCGCGTCCGGCGCGGAGAGGCGCCGTGGTCTTGTCGACTCCCAATTACGCACGCGCATGCACGCACGCGCATGCACGCGCCACGCACGCGAATGCACGCACGCGCATGCACGCGCCACGCACGCGCATGCACGCACGCGCACGCGCATGCACGCACGCGCATGCACGCACACGCGCAGCGGCAAACAATCGCCGTGGGAAATCTTCGCATTTGATCGAACACCGCCCGCCAGTGTCCGTAACGCCAAAGTCGGCGGCGGCGGCTTTGGCGATCGTGGCAGCAGCCCTCGTGACGGTCACGTGGCATTCGCACGGCGCAGGTGCCGTTGCTGGCCTTTGGAGCTTCGCGCAGAGCGGCATTGTGGCGTGTTGTTGTTGTTGTAGCTTTTGTTCTGGGGTTTTACGACTCCGATGACTCGGTTCGTGAGCAACTGAGCAGCGTATTGAATCGTGTGGACGGCGAGGGTCGCATGTTCCTCATCGGTGGCGGACCTAACGCAAGGGCATTGTGATGCTGATGATGATGACGGCGACTAACATGAGACTCATGCACGTATATCGCTCGTTTGTTTATCCACTGCTGGATGAAGGGTCATGCGCGTTTCCTTGGCCATACCTCACCACATTGGTCGGTTTCGGTTGGTGAAGGCGGGGAACGTAGATGTTGGAGCATGGTACTATACAACATTGGATTTTACTGAAATGTCCTCTGCTGGAAATCACGTGGCTCCACAAGCCCTATAACAAACCCAATGTAAACACTCACTCATCATATAACAAACCCAATGTAAACACTCACTCATCATATAGCAAACCCAATGTAAACACTCACTCATTAGCCGAAATGGCCTTCATATATACAGGATGCTTCAAAAATGTTTTAACACTTATATGGGACTATCTATTTTAATGAAAAAGAACGTATAATACACTGTAACAGGATAACAAATTTCATGTTAATAGCTTCAAAAAGTCAACGAGTCTCCACTTGTTCACCGCCATTGTCAACGCGTGCCTGGAATCTTCTCCAGGTGGTCTCCAGAGCCCGGAGGCAGCACATTTCTTGGGGTATTGTCGCAAACTCCCACAAGTGTAAATATTTTTGAAGCACCTTGTATATAGAGGACGATACAGCGTGGAGCCGCGTGACAAGTTGAAATCATTATTATTTTTATTGAGTATTATTAAAACCTGGTTGTGCATGGTGGTCACCCAACAAAGCAATATCCTGGCTCGGTTTAGCTTCGGAGATCTGACGAGGTCACATTCCCGGGGTTGATGTGGGATCATGGCTCTGAGACTAATAATGTCCCATGTTTACACAGGGACGCCTCACTCAGTCTCAAAGCCCCTGCCGGAGGGTTATGCACTGGGATATTCGTCAAATTCTTCAATCAGCATATTGCATGTGGAGGCCGGCGGCATGGGATATACTGCATACGAAGAACATATTGTCCGTGATTTAGGAACATCACCGTGGTTATACAAACATCACCTGCACTGTGGGTAGTGATGGTGACGCCGACGACGGCGACGACGATGATGATGACGTGATGACAGTGATTATGGAGGTCATTGCCCCGTGCAGATTCCTTGCTGGCGTGCGTTGTGCCTGGCGCTGAGTAATCATTTTGGGCACGGAGGTCACGGAGGTCACGAAAATTGCGAAATGGAATAAAGTCCGCGAGAGGCCGGGAAGAAAAATTGGCCGTCGGGACCGCGCTCGATTTCGGCGCTTCAAGAACGCCGCGTGTCGTGCCTCGTGCTCGCGTGGATTTTATTTTTGTCCGGGTCATCCGGTTTTTTCCTCCACTGAGATTATTTAGAGTAATTTTTTGCTATAATTGTCCAAACGAGAAGTCACTCTGTCGAGCTATTATGTGTGGCCAGGTCGCTTCTGCAAAATAAACCAATAGCTGAGTGGGATTTGCCTGATAGTATGGGGATTCATATTCTTGGTTCTTTCGGTAAAGTCACGTAGAAGGGAAATAATAAAATAATATAAATATAAAACAATACATATTCTCACGACGTTTCGACTGTAACACAAGCAATCATCATCATCAGGTGTGAATTTTTATTGTTTATATTTATATTATTTTATTATTTCCCTTCTACGTTACTTTACCGAAAGAACCAAGAATATGAATCCCTGCAGTCACGAAAGCTTTACATCAAAAGTATGGGGATGGTTTGCTCTCCTTCTCCCCACCCGCGCACCTGGCACCGCGTCAGGCTACTTACAGCCCCGCCTACTCCCCCCCCCCCCTGCCCAGTCTCACGTCCCAGTCCCTAGCGCACACGCAACGCTCCCCCTCTCCTCATTCCCCCCCCCCCCACAGCCCTCTCTGACTTATATAAACCCCTTAACTCCGGCATCTCTCCCACTTCAGTAAAACATTTTATTGCTGTGGTTGTCACACCTGATGAAGATTTATTGTGTTGCAATCGAAACGTCGTGATTTATTTCTCATTTTAATTTTTTATTTTATTTTTTCACATACGTGACTTTACGGAAAGAACCAAAGAGTATAGTATGGGGATGGTTTGGTTTTATTTGTGTGTGTTTGGGTGATTTGTTTACCTTTCTTGTACTTTGCACTACTATCATGTTTTTGTTTTGTTTGCTGTTGTAACCTTCTTACCCGCCGCTACTGGACATCTGTGAAAAAGAGCTTTATAGCTCATCAGATTCCACCAGTATAGATATAGATTCTGATTCTGATATTTGCCAAAAAAAAATTCCGTGACAAAATCGTAGCCTTAAGTCATCACGTTTCCTACTGAACGTTGACTTTGACCACGCGGATATCGGACTCAACACCTGGGCTATCGGGGAAGTGAATTTGACGATGAAGAGCAATGTCACCAGTGTGCTTAACCACCGCATAGCGCACGGATCGGACACATGGACACTGACGAATGATACGAGACAAAAGTTCAACATTGCACAAATGAGGATGGGAAATTACACCGGGAGCACGAAACAAGAAGCATGTGGATCATAGAATAACGGAAATTAAAGCCTTCGTGGCGACTTCGGAAGGCCATATTCCTAGATATGATGATGACAAATGGATGATACCGGTGACAGAGTGGAAGACAAAGGTTGATCTCGTCGCTCCGTTGCCACCATGGAAATGGAGCAACGCGATCAGCACCTGCGCAGGAGCAACATTAATCCTGACACGAAGGAACAATGAGACACGGTAACATGAGGGGTGGGGGTGGGAGCCTTGATCCAGCAGTCGATCGCGCATGGCTGCCGCAGCTGATCATGACGATGCCAGTGAAGACGAAGACCCTGCGGCATCCCCACAAGACAATTCACTTCACCTTTCACGATGACCGCCATGCCCATGATCGGCTCGGGCAGCGGCGCCTTCCTCTCCCAGCGCCGCTCCTCCGTGCAGAACGCCTCGACGGCCGCCACGGGCCTCTGCTGCCCGTCCACGCCGCCCAGCGCCAGCAGCCGCTTGCCCAGCGCCGCCACCCCGACGCCTGCGCGCGCCGTGGGCATGGGCGCCAGCCGCGTCCACTGGCTCGCGTCGGGGGCCAGCGCCTCCAGGCAGTCGAGGGGCGCGCCAGACGCGTCGCAGCCGCCCGCGACGTACAGCTGCCCGGCGCACGCCGCGGGGGTGCAGTACACGCGCTTCGTGGGCATGGGCGGCAGCTGCTCCCACACGAACGCCTTGGCCCGGCGCGCGGTCGTGGCCATCGGCGCGGTTTGGCACGGTTCGCGCCCCGAGGCCGCCCGTCAACGCCGGGCGGCGAGAGAGCGGCACTCGGGTCTCCGCGCAGGGCGCTGCGGGCCGCCGTCGCGAGCCATCTCTCGGCCGGGGGAGGGGGGTGGTGGGGGGTGGGGGGGGAGGGACGGGGGGTGGGGCGCTGTCCCTGGTGCTGACGCCCGCTCAGAGCGGACACGCTCAAATTGGACGTATCGATCGTGGAGCCCGCGACTTATTATGACCGTAAATCCTCGTAATGGGCGCGGAGCAGGTCAGGAGGTGTCACCTTTCACGTGTCTTGTTTCGAGAAAAGACTTGCGGGGATAAGCCACGCGGCATCCGAGGTGCTGCTGCTGCTGCCGCCGCTGCGATAACTCCTCACTCCTTAGCGGCGGTGGTCTATTGGTCGTTACGAGGGCAATGGCTCACATGGTGGGCTTGAGCATCAGATTAGAGAACCCGTTCTGCCGGCACGCCTGCCATCCGTCGCGCGTAGCGACCTCGCGGCAGCGGCATTTTGTATTCTTTACCAAGCGTAGCGTAAATCTCGCCCGATATCTCACGGACCATTGCTCGGCTTAAGGTGTTTTATTTCCTCGGCAAAAGGCCCGCGCTTAATGGCGCGCGGTGTGGTGCGAGGGCCGATCGATGGCAAATATCGACTGCTTGCACGCGCGCGATGCTGTTTTCGCCGGTGTGGCTGGAGCAGCGGCAGCGCTGAAACCCCCAAACTCCCTAATGGGCGAGCAGGAAAAGCCTTGACACTTGGCAGAGGCGGCAGCGGCGCTTGTTTAGAAAAGTTGACGGAGCTGGCAAGGACTGCGGAGACACGGAGGAGGTCGAGCGGCCCGGCCCGCCGGCGAGGTCGCGCCTGCTCCCGGCTCTCCCTCTCTCTCTCGCGGTGTCTCACCTCTGTCGGGGACGAGATTCTTGGCGGGGCCGTGACGCGGGGTGACGGTGCCGGCTCGCTCGCTCGGGATGAGGGCCCCACGCGAACGTCGAGTCCGCGGAGGATTTTCGACATCGATTTTTGTTGTTGTTGTTGTTGTTGTTTAGAAGTTCCCAGTAAAAGCGATGACGAAGCGGGGCGGATGTGAACTCTCCTCCTGATGCTGCTGCTGAAGATACACACACGGAGAACGCGGTTACTCCACGCGTCGAGGCGACGCGTTTCATTTTGCCAGCGCGTCGTGGATAATCTGCGGTTGGTGTTTTTTTAGGAGTTGTTATTGGCACCGTTTGACAGTCTATTTATATAGATATATATACACACACACGTATTTTTATAGATATATATAAAAAATGCCTCATGGCCAAATCACTGGAAATGCGTCAGCTCTCGTCAGATCTCGGACGCTAAGCAGGGGTTGAGTCCGGTTAGTCATCGAATGGGCGACCGCCACGCACAGCAGGCGATGCAGGCTGCAGGGCTACGCTGTGAGCAGCAGAGAACCATCCAGCAATACCCACCGTTGTACTGTACTAGTAGGCGCCCACATATTTGCTGCCTGCCTTCGTCCAACCTGCTCTGACCAGTTTGGTGAAGTATGGTCAAATAACCAAATACAAAGATCCCCCGTATAACGTCTAACAGACTGTAGGAGCAAGTCCTGTGAGCGAGCACCTATGTCGGCTGGCACGACACACGAGGTGGTGGGCGGCCAGCATCATACCCGGCCGCCTTTGTCTCCCCAGTGGCGATGTTTACACACCGCACCAGGTACTCATTTTAGGCTGAGTCGACGTAGGGGAAGCCCAGAACCGGTTCAGTTTGGTGAAGTATGGTCAAAAACCCTACAAACAGGCATGGGGAAATCCATCATGCAGCAATGGATTGCTGCCCTGCCTTCTGCTGCCCGACACGTAGCACCTGCATCCATAACGACCCGTGGCGCGTACTGTCGCCTCCCGTCCAAGCAGTATCCAGGCATCAAACCTGCTGAGCTTCCGATGCGTGACGGGATCTGGCGCCTCACGCGGTATTAACGCGTTGGTGTTTGTGTGTTTCACCCAAACACGTGGTAGCCTCGAGCTCAGGGTTCAAAGATTCATCCTCACCCCGAGGATGGTCCATCGCGCGCGCACACGTGCGGCGTTATAATGCCGGAGTAGCATCGCGTCTCATTTATATTCAGCTTCGCCCCCACTTTAGTTCCGTATCAAAAAGAATGAACCCTGCCCCGTGGCATTTCATCCAAAGCCCCATTTTCCTGCTCGCATACGATCTGAAGGCCTCTCTACGCATCTCGTCGCATTCCTTGTGGAAGCTAAGCAGCAGGTGCTCTACCTGTTTGCGTGGGCGACCGCCGTGCGAGCCGCTCTGGATTGTGCCCCGAATGTGATCTGCAGGGCGTCAAAATGTGCACGGTTGTGCTGTACTTCTGCACTCCCGCCCCCCACCTACCTGAACGGACTAACGTGGTCAAGTATGGTTCACGATCAACACGGCAGTGGGAGACTGTCGTCTAAAGAGCTGTGCGTATACAGCACAAATATTCCTGGCTGGGTTTGAACGATTTTGGTATTTGCGTCGCTGTAAATGCCTCATCTGCGGGCTGGGCGAGCTACAGCTAAGGCACACTGACAAGTGTGGCTCAGCAACAGCAGCAGCTCACGCGAGCCAGCGGCAGCGTTCCCGCGTTGCCGAACGACCGTCGCATCCACGTAGCGCAGCGGTGCCACCGATAGCTCGGCGGAGAGAGATCAAACAACCCCTGCGGTGGTCGTGGGGGTGGCGGTAGGGGTTTGGCGGTTGACTTGCGGTGCTGGCGAGTTTTGCCGTCGACTGACGGAGAGCATTGACGGCGGCTGCGGCGTGCCACGGTTCCATCAGACGGCAGCCTTCTCGTCTTCCTGCCGCTCCCATAGATTGCAGCGCCACCCTCCCGCACGTCCCGTGAACTCATTCGCGACATTCCCCTCCGCGATCCTTCTCCTGCAGCCACCGCGAGGGCTTCATTCGGTCTCAATCTCCATATCAATTTCGCGGGGTCTCTATTCATGGATCACCCCCCTCTCTCTATACTACAGGGGCAATTCACATCGATAATATTAATAAAATAAATCATTGACCGCAGTACACCGGAGTTAAACCACGTGACAGTCTCTGCAAGCAACACTGGAGTAGGAACGGCGTTTCCTTTTAATCCCAGCTCAATGTGACCCAGCGCTCAATGCCCAGTAATTGTAACATCGGAGCGTGGCAAATGCCACGGTATTGCATTACTTTTCAAGAAATCCCTTTCAACCCCCCCCCCCTTCCATCTATCTACCTCGTGTCATCCTCGTAACAGAGGGTCAATGTCCAACGAGCGTCCGTCAACGACCGATGTACGATTCATGTTGAACTTCTTTCACGCCGCACGCAGCCAACCCTGCTCATCGGAGGTGGGACGATGGCTGTTGCGTGGTGGCCTCCTTCTCGCCCCACGTCACGGAAACCAGAGGCGGGCACAGCCGAGGGGCGCTTCCCCGTGGCCTTCCTCCGCGGTGCTGTTAAAGACTCGCACCATCGTCCCTCTCAGACACCTCGTCCACGACAAGCCGCGAGCTCTCTGTGCCATCGGAGCTCATCCGCCGTCACCGCCGTTGAGGGTCTGTCTCTTATCCGGATGGGGCTTTGCCGTTGGGTCTTAGTCCGTAAAAGCCTCGATTAAGGGTCATGACCTGGGCACACAACGGCAGGCATGGGGGGGGGGTCTCCGTGCCGTGTGTGAATCCTTCTGCAGTGATCAATCAAAAAAGACCCCGCCGCTCGTTTCGCAGTGGAGGTTCAAATATTCCGCGACGTTATTCGAAAATGAGTAGCCCACGCGTGCCACCATCAGGGTCCATAAATGTGCCAAGTCAAAATCTAACACTCAGATATAATCGTCAGTTGGGTACATAGCAGCAGCAGCACATGACCCTCCTGAAGCAGTCTTGAAACTCACTGAGGCTGTCCTCCATAAACAAACGCTTTCAATACATAAAACCGCCTTGTCTGTAGCCTTAGCAAAAACAGCTCCCCTTTACCAGTGTCCATGTTGCGGCACGAGCGGTGATGTTAAGTGTTCTTTATATCATCCAATAAGTGCAATACGTTCTTCAAGAAATACCATCCAATAAGAGAGCATGTCCGTAAATGCAAGACGCTGCAGCATGGAGTATACTTTTTGCCGTCGATCGAACGGTAAAACAAAGATAAAATCAACCCCATCATCATTATCATCATCATTATTATCATCGTCATTTTCATCATCAGAATTATCATCAAACTTATCATCATTATCATAATAATTATTATTATCATAATTATCATCATCCAAATCGCGAAGTGGACTGGGGCCGTTGCATCCAACAAGACGAGCGGAATTAAACGAAACTTTTATTTTACCAGTTAAGGCCCACTCAGCTATAGAGCTCTTCTTTCAGAAGCGACCTGGTCACAAATTCTAGATAGCTTAACGGGGAATGGCTTATAATGTGGACATTTTATAGCAGCCAACAAACGCCCGTTCATAAAACGTAGAGGGAAGAAACGGAGGGGACCCGGAAAAAAATCCACGCGACCACGGAGAGAGAGACGGACGGAGATGGCGCTCAGATTTCTCGTCGCATTCTTTACATCGCACGTCATGGCTTTGGAAGAAAAGTCCCGCTTGTTGTAAAATAGAAGTGCGTTGTGTAACGCAACCGTCAGCAGAGATCCCAAACTATCCACGTTTCTTATACATGTTAGATCATTAACGCGTCAATAAGTTGTTGACAATGGGGTACGTTTGTATTTATTTTCTGAGATGGGATGAACATTTCATATGCAGAGCAGGTGGGAACATGCTGCCCCACTACGTGGACCAGAATTCGCTTGAAGGGACCTAAGACATCGCTCTGTGATAATCCGCTTCCATGGGCTGTTTTCGTCCAGCTCTGCAACATATATCAGAATCGATACTTCGTGTCGTCCAGCAACATCGATAGCACGATTAAAATACAATTGTCGGGAAAATTGCAACAAATTGGGCTAAGGCCACTGTTATTAATATTCCCCGTAACTGTTGAAGAGTCAAAAACTTTAGGCCCAGGGCCTTTTGTGATCGTCTCACCGCCACATCTGGCTTCGTGTCGTCCCCGTTCTCCGCCG